TGCTCCCTTTAGAAAACATTATTAAAAAGCGCTGCTAAAGGTCATTCCTAAACTCAACCATAGTAAGCGCTTATGGAAATTGCTACTATAAGACTATGAAAAGAAAGAGCTTTTAATGAAAAAGCGCTGCTAAATTGTATACATAAGTAAGCACTTTCTAAAAGCGTTGCCTTAGGTGTTTAATTTTTGAAAAATAAAAACAGAAACACGTTAATACTGTAGAATCCTAATTTTTGAAAACAACTTTGATACTCTCTCTCATTTCTACTTCCACCGTCGTATCTCTCTCACGCTACTCCCTCTCTTTGGTTTCCACCATCTCCGCTGACCGTATCTTCGTCTCTTCGCAACTCCATCCACCACAACGTACTCCCTCCGCCGTAAATCCTACTTTTTTTGTTTCGGAACTCTTTCATTTTGAGCAAGGTTTGTCTTCTTTTCCTTTCTTGAGCAAGAAATTGATAGTGTTGATGTGGTTGTTGTAAGAATTTGAATTTGAAATTGTTGTAGTAAAGTTGAAGATGATGAATAGTGATATTTGTGGTGAATTTATTTTGAGAATATTTGTGTTAATTTTGTAAGTTGATGTTGAATGTTAGTGATGAATTGTTGAAATTTATTGATGATAATGACATTGTTGATGGACAATTATTAGTGATTACTTTGTTTTGATATAATTGTTGATCGAAAATGATAATGAAATTAATTGTTAATTGTTGAGGTTGAAGATGATGAATAGTGATGAAATTAATTGTTAATTGTTGAGGTTCAATTTGCTATTGAGTTTAAATGTGGAATTGATAATTTTGGTAATTGTTTTATGCTCGAATTGATGATTCTTTGTTGGATAGAACTTTGAATTTAATTGAACTTAAGTGATGAAGTTGTTTTTTATGACTTACTTGAGTTGAAAAATTAAGTGTTGATGTGTCATTTGTGATGAATCAAAGTATACCATGCTACTTGAATTAATGTGATTGAATTTGTGCGTCGATGCCATGTTGCTTAATTGAAGGAAGTGTTGATGTTTACAATTTTATTCTCGAGACTTTGACTTGTTTCTCCGATATATCTTGTTTGTCCTATTATATACTAAATTTGTCCTGTTATATTTGGTACACCATCAGTTACTAACTTAGTGAATTTGCATGCTATAGGGGTTACTTGTGAAGATTGAATTTGATCGTTTCCAAGAATCTTACAATGTATGGTTCCAGAAGTTGTTGACTTATCTACAGGTAATTAGATGTTTTTTTCTATAGTTGCGTGAATAATTAGTGTTTTTATTTAGCTTTCTTAGTAAAACCATGGATAAAAAATGGATGTCTTCTAATCGATTGTCAAAAGAGTACGAGAATAGGGTATTAGAATTCGTTAAGTTTGTTGTTGAACACACCAAAGTCCCCAGTCGAATCACATGTCTTTTCTTAGGTTGCTGTTGTGGTTCAGTTGCATTTGAAAAGGCATGTAATTGATCGAAGTTATGCATGTTGGATATTACATGGTGAGATAAGTAACGAGAATGTTGAACCGGGGGATAATACGACCTATGCTTCAAACGATAATGGCACAAATATATACGATTGTCATCGAGTCGAAGAGATTGTAGAAGCACTTGAAGAAGATCTTCAGGATTGTCCTAAAATATTTGAGAGGTTGGTAATCGATGCAGAGAAAAAATTGTATAAAGGTTGCACTAAATTCATAAGATTGTATGCGGTATTAAAGTTGTACAACTTAAAGTTGGGAAACAGATGGTCGAATAAAGTTACACAGAGTTATTAGCCCTTATGAAAGATATGCTTCTGGAGGATAATGTTCTTCCCAATCGAACCTTTGAGGCCAGAAAAATTTATGCTCTATTGGCATGAGCCATGATAAGATACATGCTTGTCCAAATGATTGCATTATGTTTCAAAATGAATATGCATTGTTAAATGAGTTCCCTAAATGCGGTGCCTCTCGATATAAGAAACAATTGTCTCTAGCAAAAATATTATGGTATTTTCCTATAGTATCAAGATTTAGACGTGTGTTTCATAGAGAAACCGATGTAAAACACTTGATATGGCATGCAGATGAAAGATTTATAGCTAGAAACTTTCGACATCCAGAAGATTCACCACAGAGTATGAAAATTGATAATGATTATCCTGATTTTGTAGAAGAAGCAAGAAACCTTCACTTGGCATTATCTACTGATGGAATTAACCCACGTGGTCTTCAAAGTGTCTCACATACCACATGTCATGTGATTATTATGATTTATAATCTACCTCCATGGCTATGTATGAAGCGTAAGTTATATACTCTCCCTTACAGCCGCCTGAATCTCTTTCTCTTCCCCAAATTCATTCTTCTTCTTCCTTTCATTCTCAGATTTCAATCCAACATCGACCCCAATCCATCAACGAAACGCAACAAAAACTAGTGAGATCTGCAAACAGACAAAATAAAACTCAAAAATACTTAATAATCAATATAAATGAAAGGTTACCAAAACGGGAGGACCGCGACGGTTTACGGCGACCAAGTATGACATTCAAAGGTGTTCAGAGGGAAAAATACGTTGAGGTCGCGGATTGGGATGTAATCGTCGGTGGTGATGATCGATTTTGGGTCTCCGTCAGGTTCGTCCTTCTCACGAGGTATTTTTACTTATGATGAATCCTTTTTACTCTTTTCCTTCTCTTCGATTTCTGGACACGCATGTGATACTATGATGTGCTTCTTGTTTGTGTGTGGATCTAGTTTTTAAGTTGTTGTTGTACTGATTTTGTATAAAATGATGAGGCTTTGGTATGAGATTATCTGATATCCCCCCCCCCCCCCCCTCTCTAAAATGTGTATGCACTCCCTTATATGGTTTTCACGAATTGAAATTTTTCTATCCAAACTTGAATTCTAGATTGAATGTCCTTTCCTTTTTAGTAAACATGTTTTTGGAAGGAAATCAAACTTGTTTGGAACCTATTGAACATCTGATTAATACCTTTCTTCCTTGGTCTCCACATGTTAGATTATGCATGATTCACGAAAATGTAAAACTTCCTTTTTTATTTGGATGTGCTAGACAATTGTTTTGGAAAAAAACCAGGTGTAGATTTTTCATCATGCAACTTGTAACTGTTGGTGACTCTTTTGTGAATTATTCTTGGATAGTTGAAATGGACACTTCCAGTTGGACATATTACGGCTGTTGCAAATGTACTTCCGAAATGGCTTCAAAGTCGAGTCATGTAACTTGCGATCACTCAACGATGATTTGAGACAGAATGCAACTTGTTTTTTTTTAAATTCTTATTCATGGCTTGTTGCCTTGTAATTTTATCCCCTCAAATACATTGACTTGACAAAATGTTTTACTAGATAACATTACTTTGATGAGCCTTTGAGAATTGTGAAGCTTGAAGCATAAAAGTAGAACTTTGAACATTATCTTCAAATTATTAACATCCACAAAACTTAATTTAAAGTCCTCTTAGTCACGAACAATGAGGAAAACATGAGCCTTTTATGTATTTGGGAGATCATCTAGAAGATGGTACTGATTTAATGAGCCTTGTCAAACAAGCCCCTTTTTTTGCGATGACTATGATTCAAAACCTTGCTTTGAAAGATATTTGAAAACATGCTTTGAACTTGCATTCCTACAAAGCTATATGCGATGAACACAACTTCAAATTCTTATGCTTAAATCAATTCTTGGATGATGATCGAACCATATGCTTTGAGATCTTGACATCATAAAGAATCCAGATCACCTTATAAGCAACAAATAATTGAACATGAATTAAGACCTTGGTCGTAAAGAGTTCACAACCTCATCTTTTATGCCATAATGCACACATGCGCTTCAACCGACAAAAATATCTTGACTTAACAAAATTCTTCTTCAATTGATGATCAGATCCAAAGAAACTCCCGATCACATGTCTTAGAAGACCAATTCAAAGTATGATTATGAATTATGACCTAATGTTGATGCAAATGAACGCGAAGCAAAAGTCAATCAAGGTTAGAAAAAGATAGGGCAAATTTTGGGGTGCTACAATTGGGTTAAACATTCACCTAAAGATCAAAGATTCTCCCAAATTAGTGAGAGACACACCTCATATTCATCCAAAAACTTAATTTGATAGGTGTATGGGTCATCTTACTTCTAAGCAATGTGGGACTTAGAACTCACACTCGATTCACAACAAATCACATTTTTCCCAACAATCTACCCCTCAAGTGTGAGGTGTATGGGTCCTCTTACTTATAAGGTGCTTAACCTCCACATTTCTAAGAAATGTGTGACTTAAAATTCACACTTGATTCTCAACAACTCACATTTTTCCCAACAATAAAGAAACAAGACTTCACACCAATCTCACTATAGTACTTGTGAATATTGGACCTACCATATATCTAGGCATTCGACTTCTAAAGATGAATATCTTGGATCTAGTAATGACAGACACTTTTCCAATGTCTAGTCATATCATGAAAATAAATTTTAGATAGCAAATCTAAAACATATATTAGCCAACATTGTTGAACAATATTGTTTCTATTAGTCTTAAGACGACATGTTTTTAATCACTTTAAATAAAAAAATTTCCAAGAATTTTCTTCATGTGTTGTACAATTTTTGTTTAAGATATTTTTCAGAATTTGAGATTATCTATGCCTATGTTTAAACGTCATACAAAATCTAAATTTATTTTTTTCTTATAATTTAAATATTTAAGTAAATAATCTTATATACCAAAAAAAAAAAAATTAAATACTACACAAACATCTTAACAACTTGAAGCCAAGAAAAAAAGTTATGTCTCTAGTACTCAACATATTATTGTTACAATTAAAACACAATATTGGTTAGTTTTCAAATAGAAAAATAAACTTTAAATTAAAATTGATAAATCACAATACATATTATTGAACAGTTTCTTTCTTAATGTAGAAGTATAAAAACTATTTTAATAAAATAAATTGGGTGAAAACAATAAAACTTAATCATGTATGCTTCTAATCGAAAGAAGGCTTTTGTTATAAACTATGATATGAGATTTATAGGCTTCAACACCAAGCTCATTAATCATTTGGGTATCCAAATCAAAGCATGCAAGTTCTCCATTCTCTTTTCTTAAAAATAAGTCTCCATTCTTTCCTCCTGCAAAAGGATATGCAACACAAGCCAATGGTCCTAGAATAAAAACTTTAGTCCAAGATTCTTTCACACCAATTTCATTTAAAATTGATATATGAATTGTATTAGTCTCCCCGTGATGCGATGATAATGCAATGAATCCTTTAATTAATATCATCAAGTGTTTATAGTTCCATTCAGGATCCATATTATCATTCATGTATGAGGGCATGGGTGTTGTAAAAACTACCTCATTACAAACATCAAATGACATCAAACATGTTTGGAAAATGTACTCGCTAACTTTATACAACGAATGACACATTCCTTTTGTGTAACATCGATCAATTCCATCATCATTGTTAGGGATCAGAAAAATATAAGGGATTGTCATGGGAATGTTAATATTTAATTTCCTCCATGAATCACTTCTTAGATTATATATCTCCCACACAGGTTCATATGATACATCTTTCCAAGGCACATTTTCCTCATCCAAACCAAGACACTCACAATCATGGCGGTTTAACTGATAAAAAAATATACGCCGAAGCACTTTATAGTCATTCTTAACACAATCATAACCAAATCCATGAATAAGCCATGAGAAATTTCGATAAGGTACAGACTCAGCGGGACTTGGAGGAATTACCTTGTATTCGTCAATAGTTGGATTCCATAATGCAAAGCCTTCATTTTGACTAACGATACCAAGAATTCCATTGATACTACAAGACCCCACGACAATAAAATCTTGGCCATGATCTACAAATGGAAGAGAGTAATCCATCTTAACCTTATTCTCTAATCGCTCACCAAAAAGAAAATAAAAATATGATCGAACATTCGGAGGCCCAAACATATAATACCGCATGAGATAAGATATATCATCAAAACCAAAAAGAGTTTTAGACATAAATTTTTTGCGAAAAGCACTAACAAAATGAGAATCTTTCAATAAGAGGGTCCATGATTTTTGTACGCATTCAAATCGCTTCAATGATTTCAATGGTAGTTTTGATAAAATGGAGATTATGAGATCATTGGGTATGTAGTTGCTAACTTTCTCCATCTCTGACCAAATATTCGTATAGAAATTGCAATTGTTGATGGCAAAAATGAGATTGATTATAAAATGAGATTGATTCACCTATGTCTCAAATGATATAAATATTAGAGTATTTTTGTAAAAATAAAATAAAATAAGAAAATAATTTGAACTGAGTCAATTAAAAATATTATACATATGGAAAGAATAGATTTGCATTAAATATTCTACATCAGTGAGATACCATTTGCTTATTCACATGAAAATGAGTAAATAAAAAATATTTTATTACTCTAAAAATGTAATATTGATTCTCACTTTTAGAAAATAAAGAAATAATTTGAAGCGAGCCAATGAAAATGTTATATTAGTCTAAAAGGTAATATCTGAAAATAAAATAAAAAAGTCTAAAAAAGTAATGATCATAAATTGAATTTATAAATTGTAGCAAATCACATTAAAAATACGATTTTAAAACAATATCCCTTATTATTTTTTAATTTATAAGCAAAAAAAAATCATAATATTATATAAGTTAAAAATCAACTTTCATTCAATATTTTCTAAACATACCAAAATAAAATATATATTTACGACAAAATCGAGTCAATCAAGTATATATTATACTAAAAATGACAAGAAAGAATCCAAAATTACATCCCAAATTTTGAAAAAATTATAAAAAGCGGTCTACATAACATCAGATACACAAGTTAAAGTATTTAACCTCCAGATCTGGTCATCATAATCCAAAGTAACATATTTTAGCTTTAACCACAAAAATGATTAGAGCTTTACCCTATCGGATAACTAATATTTCTTTAAGTAATGTGTAAGTATAAAATTATTTCTTTAATTAAATCAAAAGTTTATTAACATATAATATATATGCTTTTTAATCCCCACTAATATTTTTCGATATGCATATGAATTTTAGGAGAATCTATTTCAGTCTTTAACTCTAGCTGGAGACCGTGATTACAGGAGCATACAAAGTCGAGTATTAAATGTTTCTGAGTATTCTGGTTGTGTGAGGGGTAAGGGATTTGGGGTCACTCCAACAAGTTTGTATAAACATCCAAAGAGTAAAATTTCGAGCAATAAATAAGTGATGGAATCGTTGGAGGAATTAAAAGTTCGAATTCGTGAATTGCAAAAGGATAAAGAAATATATATCTCAGAAAGGCGCGGTTCAGAGTTTAAAGATACTAGTGACAAAGATAGTATCAATTATAATGTTCAAAAGAAAATTACCGAGGTAATTATATATATTATTATAAAATTAAACTAGCATAATTTTTTTTTAATTGACATATATACACACTAACAGGATCTTTTCCGATTTGGAAGACTAGCTGTTGTTCAGCAATTTTCATGGCGAACACTCACTCACGCTATTGACAAGAACCACACCTTTCAACCATAGGATTTTGCTCTCGCTCACCCGTTTCAATTAAAAGGCGTATTTTGGAAGTTAATCAAATTATAAATGATGCCTAAAGTGCTCTCGTTGTTTTTAAGATCGATGCCTAGTTGCCACTATCAATTCATTCCTCACACTCTCGCACTATCGGTCTGAACTTAGTATATTTCTCACTCTCTTGTCAAAATAATAAAACATGAAAATTAGAAACAAAGACCATTACTAACATACGATCAATAATTTCGCACCTAAAATTTTCTACGGAGTCCCATCGATAACGAAAGTCCTCATACACCGAACTCAATTAAATTTAGCAAGACATATTATTCATAGAAAACATATTAACGGTAATCAGAATTAAAACAAACATTGCATACAAAATTAAAGTAATTCAAGTGCAAAAGTAAAAACAGGAAATAACATGTAGAGTACAAATACTCCAACAGTACATCAAAGAAAAGAAAGTTACAATAAAAAGTGCGACAATTCCTCGATGTGAGTAATTGCCGCTTTGACACTAAATTTATGCCTAAAATTTAAATAGAATTTTGACAGAGCTTTTTGGCAATTTTCCCCGGTCCTTGGAACATGGCCGAGGAGTCATATATATAGAGAAAATGATGATCTCAACTGTCCTTCTCAAAACGATTGCCGAATTTGAATTTTGCAACAGCGCTGTTATGGAAAATGTCATCAGGTCATGGCAAACTCCATGGCCTTTCTTCAATAAATTACGTGACAGGCTGATGTATGGGGAACGCCATATAGTCACGGCGAACACCATATCAGGAAAAAAAGGCAGATTTTCTTCTTTCTTGTTGCATTTTCCTCTTCTTTCACTATTTTTTTGCTTCGCTCCCGATTCCGCAATGAATGAAGCTATAAACTACAAAACATAAAAAAATAGAGTAAAATGTTAATAAAACGTGATAAAAACGGACGAATCATATGTGCAATGAGTCTAAAAATATGATACAATTTATCGTTATTACTAGACCCAATAAACTTTCGTTGGGCGACCATGAAAATTTTTGCCAATGGAATTTCATTTATTTTTCCTCGCCTCGGCTTCGCTGGAGCTTGGTAGGCGAGCTCCCCCACCCCTCGCCACGCTCGCTGTGAGAGCTTGCTAAATTTTGCCATCCTTAGCTTTGTGCCTTTTTATTTTTTTTGTGTCTTAATATTTTGTTTCTTGTAACATTTTTTGCATACTAACACACATATCAAAGAAACCAAAGATAGATGAAAATAATATAACATTCTATGAAAACTTGGGGAATTCAATGATCGAAAACACAAAATAGAGCCTAAAAATGCCAAGTTTTTATTTTCAAAATTTGTCATGCTTGGCAACTATTACTATCTATAGAGATATATCATAGTATAGATAAGAGAACTAGTTGTCCAATATTTTTATATCTAATATGTTTAGGGAGCCAACTGCGTATATGTTCTATTAATGGATTGTTTGTCATGTTTGCTACCGGTTGTAAAATTATTTGTGGATAATTTATTGTATACTTGTGTACGTGTGTGCTTGTATAAGTCTATTTTTGGGTGTGACAACATAAAATGCATGATAGTTATTGCTTGTTTTTATAATAATATACTTATGATTGTATTGTAAAATGTGTTGTATACCATTTGAAAGTGAATTGTGTGTGGGTGGTGATTCATAAAAATGTGCAAGTATGTGTAACATTGTGGTAATTCAAGTGTGATGAATTATTGAAAATATGCATGAATGTTAAGATTAGGGAATGGTCTTAATCGCATATGGTTGCTGAACTTGCACATGCATCATTTTTGTCAAGAGGTAATGCTTGTTAGTTTTGTGGGAATTAGTGACTTGTTCCAAACCTAGAGCGGGGTTTGAAAGCTTAGGGAATGGGCTTTTTGTGTGTTATTGGTCTAGGGAATAGATTCAGCTTAATATAAGAATTGAAAAATAATAACAAGTGATTGGTACCACATGCATGATTTGCATTAGAGTCTTGCATTGAGTCACATCAGGTATATGTTTGTAATATGAGATTATGCAAAGTATGTGAAATTGATAAGTTGACGAATTATGGAACTGTAAGTATGTGAAGATGTGAGAAAAACACAAGAAATGGGGGTTTGAATTGGGTTTTCCACTTCATTAAACTTTTTCTCCTCTTCACTTGTTGCTTTACGAGATCTATAAGATGCATTTGTGTAAGCATAACTAATAAAGCATAACATAAGTAAAGAACACACGATATATCCTAGTTCACTTGAGAGAGTCTCAAGCTAATCCAGTCCATGCTTCCAAGGTGATTTCGCTTCTCTCAATTGAGGTCTTAATCCACTATAACCAAATGCATACAAGAGACAATGACACGTTCAGTGATCCCTCAGGATAGAACGTTCATTGATCTAACAGAATCTGATCCCAGCCAGAGTCTTCTTGAGAATCCAGACTCAACCGAGTCTCTCAAGGGACACTTACAATGATATGTTCAGTGATCCAAATTAACAGATATAACAATCATTGACCCAACTAGAATCTGATCTACTAGATCTTCTCAAGTCTTCTGATATTCACTTGATCACTTGAGGAACCACTAATTCTAAAGTAGAATTGTTTTAATAGAGACTACATGAATGCTTCTTCTCAAACAGATTACTCCTAATTTAAGTACATGGCAAGTATTTAGCAACAACTCCTTCCTTCTAAATACATAAACTATTTTAAAGATAAATCTCTAAGAGATTATAAAGCACTAGTTTCCATATTGATTAAAAGCTTTCTTATGTGAGAACTGCGTAGCTGGCTGGCTAATCAACCCACCAACCAACATTTGAATAAATCAAATGATCTTCTTTTATAGTGCATACAAGAGAGTCGTTGTAAGGGTAGAGATTTCCTTTCAAATTCCAACGGTCATATCACAACGGATAGAATAAGCATAGGTGTTGGATAGTACAGTGATGTCACTTTCCTTTGTCATTTGCTTGCAACATTAATATATTGGAAATTGTGTACTTTGTATTGTAGTCTTCTTAAGCAAGTTTGTTGATCTTATCCATAAATCAATATATTCTTCGTTTATCAGATTGGAGAGATCAACTTCATGCCTTGGTTCTTCTGATGATGTATCTGATGAGTAGTTCAGAGACCCTTATGGTATGATAGCATAATGACATCAGAGTCTTGATCTTCAGAACACTTAAGTCTTCAGAGTCTTTCTGCACTTGGTCTTCAGATGATGTATCTTTAGACACGTTGCTAGCTTCTAGATCAGATACACTTCTCAGAGCAGAATCCACAGGAGCATTGCAACCACAATATCCAGCATCCTTGGATCTTTCTGATCGTGATCAGATACAGAGGCATACTTGCTTCTATAATACGCTTTAGGACTTGTCACACATAGTAACTTGCGTATAGTATTAAATGCACATCTGATAGTGCTTGCTTGATCGGATATATTTAATAATCGTAATCTGCACAAAACAAACATTAGAACATAAAATAGTTCTTTCACAAATACTTCATTGTTATCATTAAAACATAGAGATAATGTTGTAGAGACAATTTTTGTTCTTACAATCTCCCCCTTTTTGATGATGACAA